CCCCCCCCCCAACGCCAGACCAGAGGCAGCGCTCCCCTCCCCGCTCCTCCCCTCCCCTCTCGTCACCCAAGCCCAGTGCCACAATCCTCCTCCCCGCAAAATCCAGTCCAATCAGCTGCCTGCCAACCCCTGAAATGCCGTGCTGTGATTGGCTGGCCGTCTCTAAGGTGAGGAGCAGTAGTTATTAAAGAGCCCCAGGGCTGCGAGTTGAGGAGCTGAGAGCGGAGCTTGAAACTCACTGGAAACTTGCGCCGCGACTTGCCAGTTTCACTCCAGGAACTTTTCTTTGCAGGAGGAGAAGAGAAGGGGTGCAAGCGCCCCGCTTTTGCTCTCTTTCTTCCCCTCCTCCTTCTCCTCTCCAGTTCGCCTTACCCCACTTGGAGCGGGCAGCTGCGGGCTGGCCACCGCGCGCCTTCCCAAGTGCTCGCCGCCGCAGCCGGCTGACGTGCCAGGCTCCCCGGGAGCCACTCGCTCCGCGTTCGGGCAGCCGAGGGGAGGGGAGCCCGCGCCTCGAGTCCCCGAGCCGCCGCGGCTTCTCGCCTTTCCCTGCCACCCGCCCCCTGCCCCGGGCCCGCGTATGAATCTCCTGGACCCCTTCATGAAGATGACCGACGAGCAGGAGAAGGGCCTGTCCGGCGCCCCCAGCCCCACCATGTCCGAGGACTCGGCGGGCTCGCCCTGCCCTTCGGGCTCCGGCTCGGACACCGAGAACACGCGGCCCCAGGAGAACACGTTCCCCAAGGGCGAGCCGGACCTGAAGAAGGAGAGCGAGGAGGACAAGTTCCCCGTGTGCATCCGCGAGGCGGTCAGCCAGGTGCTCAAGGGCTACGACTGGACGCTGGTACCCATGCCGGTGCGCGTCAACGGCTCGAGCAAGAACAAGCCGCACGTCAAGCGGCCCATGAACGCCTTCATGGTGTGGGCGCAGGCGGCGCGCAGGAAGCTCGCCGACCAGTACCCGCACCTGCACAACGCCGAGCTCAGCAAGACGCTGGGCAAGCTCTGGAGGTAGGGCCGGCGCGGCAGGGTGGGCTCCGCGGTGGCGGGGGGCGCTGGCCAGGACACACTCTCGCGCCCCGCCTCCCAGCAGGAGGGAGTTGCCGGTCCCGGAGCCGGCGGACGGCGGCGGCGGGGAGGGGGGGTGCTGAGTGGTGGGGGGGGGCCCGAAGTGTAACTTGGCTCAGAGTTTGACAAAGTTCTT